ATCTCCCCATCTCATGAACACACACAACCAATATTCATGTCATTCTAGGAGCCTATCAGCTCCGGAAGTGTGTTATTAGAAAACCTCAACACCCTGCTATCCTCGGTATCAGCCAGAGCAGTCGGCAAAGGCCCCCCCAGGGACAGTTACTGGGATTGGCCCCTTAGGCTGTGTCTACGCTGCCATTAGGCACCTGTGCCAGGCTGGAGTCAGCTGACTTCGGCTCATGCGGCTCGGGTTAAGGGGCTGTTTAACTACAGAGGAGATATTTGGGGCTTGGGTGGACCTTCCCACCTCGCAGGGGTGTAGAGGGGCTCCTGTGGGAACCTGAATATCTGCGTTGCACTGACCTTCAGGTGTGTCGGTTCCCATTTGCAGCAGTGGCGCTGCGGCTAGAAGGATCCACTGGGCAAATTCACCTCCAGTCACTCCCTTAACTTGAGTTTGAGCTCCAGGTTCCTGGCCCAAATGTCCTTGCTATTGAGGGCTGTTTTGTTTTGGCCCCATCTAGCATTCCAGCAAGCCTCCAGTCCCCTCCAAAGTGGCCGTGGTTGGAATCCCACTGGTGGAGCCATGGCAGGGGCTCCCCCGGAATTTTGTTGGTATCTGTAAGGTAGGTCATGATCAGGAGCTTTTAGGAAGTCCCCTAAGGGCACAGTGGGGAGAGAATTTTCCTAGATGGCAGGTGGGGGGGGGGGGGCATTTTCCACCAGGACGTGGGATACGGGGGACTGAGAGTAGATGACACCGTCTTAAAGAGAGAAATGTCTTGACTGGCTGGAGGATGCAAAGCAGCTATGGAGCCCAGAGTGGGAGTTGGTGAATTCCTCAGTCATCCCCAGGCCTCTTGTCTGGGAAGGGTAAATCCACTTCCCTGCAGCAGCTTCAGAGGCTCTGGAACAGAATTATAGAATCATAGAACTGGAAGAGACCTCAGAAGGTCAAGTCCAGCCCCCTGCTCTAGGCAGGACCAATCCCAACTAAACCAACCCGGCCAGGGCTTTGTCAAGCTGAGACTTAAACACCTCTAGGGATGGAGACTCCACTACTTCCCTAGGGAACCCATCCCAGTGCTTCCCACCCTCCTAGTGAAATAGTTTTTCCTAATATCCAACCTGGACCTCTCCCACCACAACTTGAGCCCATTGCTCCTTGTTCTGCCATCTGGCCCCACTGAGAACAGCCTCTCTCCATCCTCTTTGGAACCTCCCTTCAGGAAGTTGAAGGCTGCTCTCAAATCCCCCCTCGCTCTTCGCTTCTGCAGACTAAACAAGCCCAACTCCCTCAGCCTCTCCTCGTAGGTCATATGCTCCAGCCCCCTAATCATTTTGGTTGTCCTCCGCTGGACCCTCTCCAATGCGCCCACATCCTTTTTGTAGTGGCCCACCTCCCTGCTGCTCTCTCATCAGCCAGACCTGACCTGGCAACCACCGGCAACACAGACCTCCACCGCCAGAGCAAACGGAATTATTCAGTGAGGGTGGGGGCTGCTTTGAAAGTCCTGGAGGCCCGAGGCAGGGAGGTGGGGGATGCTAGACACTTAGCCACCCAGCACTTTGCATGTACAAGGCTCTTCAGGTAGCCTGAAGGCAACTCCAGAGCATTAGGGGCATCTGGCCATTAGCAAACATGACTCTTAGTGAGTGTGCAGAGCCGGGCTGACATGCATGTGAAGGTGCTAATATGTCTGATGGGTAAAAGTCATTTCCGTAACCTGGTAAAGAGGGTGAACTTCCTAACTACAGAGAGGGCACAAGGCAGTGTACATGGAGGGAGACGTCCTGGGGATAAAGTCATTGAGCGCAGAGACTGCTCCTCCCCCCCAGTCTTCTGTTCTGCTTCTCTGTCTGGAGGAAGGGGGGGGGTCTGGATGGAGTCTGTAGTCATTTGTATCTACAGCTGCCTTGGTGAGAGGCAGCGTAGCCTAGTGGATAGAGCAGTGGGCTGACAATCAAGGTACTAATCCTGGCTCAGGTACTGATTTATTGTGTGACCTTGTGCAAGTCGCTTCCTGGCTCCGTGCCTCAGTTTCCCACATCTGTAAAGTGGGAGCAATGATACTGCTCCACCGTGGAGGTCTGCAGATGCAAAGTCTGGGGGAAGGATGATATGTAGTTGGGCAGAATTCCATTTGTCTTATTTTCCATCATTTTGATGATGGTATCAATGTGTATGTGAAAGCATTTTCTTCAATTATCAGTATTTTTCCAGCGGCTTAAAATGACAAGTTTAAGCATTTTTTAAATGTTTAGCTACTTGCACATACGTGCTCATGGGAAGTTACAGGGGAGACTCAAACCGTGTAATGGCATTGGAGGTTGAGATTCAAAAAATTAAAGCTGCATAATACTTGAGACACTGGGGCTGTGTCTAAATCGGCAAGATTTTGCGCGCAAAAACTTGCTGCCTGTCTACACTGGCCGCGAGTTCTTGCACAAGAACACTGATGTTCTAATGTAAGAAATCAGGGCTTCTTGTGCAAGAACTATGACGCTCCCGCTCAGGAATAAGCCTTCTTGCGCAAGTGTTCTTGCGCAAGAGGCCAGTGTAGACAAGCAACATGAATTTCGTGTGCAAGAAAGCCCGATGGCTAAAATGGCCATCAGAGCTTTCTTGCGCAAGAGAGCGTCTACACTGGCACGGATGCTTTTGTGCAAAAGCACATCTCTTGCACAAAAGCACATGCCAGTGTAGACACTCTCTTGTGCAAATACTCTAACGCAAAAACTCTTGCGTTAAAGAGTATTTGCGCAAAATCTTGCCAATGTAGACGTAGCCTTTGTCAGCATCCCGTGTCAGAATGCACATAGCAAAGAGCCTGAAGTCAAACGGAGTCCTCAAGCAGCCGTCGTCTTCCTTTGCCTGGCTTGAACGTTTGGATTATGGATGGAAATATTTGCCATTGGTATGTGTATGCGAGGGAATAGATGTTTACCCAGCATTTTACTGATAACAATTGTGTCCTCCCATGCCAAGGAGCCTGTGGGGAAGTGAAGGGTGCAGAGAAATGAAGCAAGATTGTCCAAAGATCAAGCCCATTTGTACAGCATTGAGGAAAGTGTGGTTCTAGCATATGACTGGGGCTCCGAGGCCTCATGATACGTAAATAAATAAGTGTAGCTAGTTCCGAGCAGGGTTTATAACACAGATGCTCCTGCTTCCAGGGCATGTGCTCACTGGGTCCTACTCCCGCTCAGGGCATGGGAACCTGTCATTTTCATGTGGAAATTCCCAGCACTCTGGAAACCAGTCAATAAAACCTTTTCATTCCCTCCCCCAACACAGTTAAAAAGTGCAACACAAAGGGAACTGGGATGCGTTGAGGGTGGTGATGGCTAGACAGAAGGGCCAAACACTGTGGGCGTTTATACACCACACGGAGACAGGTGTGAATGCCTAGATAACTGTGGGCACAAACTCTCACCTCGATGGCACAAGGGTAAATCCACAGTCACTCTGCTGGGCGGGATGATATCTTGTTTGAGAGGGAGGTCTGGATCAGGCCTTCTAACCTCTGCTCTTGGTGACCTAGAGGCAGATGCTGTCTTGTTGCCCGGTGGTTAGAATGTTGGACTTGGACTTGAGAGACGTGGCTTTTAATCACAGCTCTGCCCTGGCCTGCTGGTGGCTTTGGACAAGGCACTGCACTGGATGAGGGGTAGTGCGTGGAGCCATTGCTATGCATGCCGTGTGCTTTTGAGGCTGGTGGGGGGCTGAGGTGGGAGCAGGCCAGCTCCTGTAAAATGGGGTCTGTTGTAAAGTGCGGTAGGGCTGCTGCTGGGATGGACGTAGAGAAGGGCTGGGGACAATGAGGGTGTGTCTAAACTACATGGCTCTGTCGACGGAGCCATGTAGATGAGGCTGATCGGCAGAGGAAAATGAAGCTGCGATTTAAATAATCGCGGCTTCATTTAAATTTAAATGGCTGCCGCGCTCTGCCGACCAGCTGATGATCAGCTGTTTGTCGGCAGATCTGGGCAGTCTGGATTCGCCGTGGTCGACAAAGAAGTCTTTGACGATGGGCGCAGGTAAACCTGGTTTCACGAGGCATACCTGCGCCGGTCGACAAAGGCTTCCTTCTTGACTGCGGCGCGTCCAGACCTCCCCATCTTCCGACAAACAGCTGATCATCAGCTGGTCGGCAGAGCACGGCAGCCATTTAAATGTAAATGAAGCTGCGATTATTTAAATTGCGGCGTCATTTCCCTATGCCGATCAGCCTCATCTACATGGCTCCATTGAAGCCATGTAGTTTAGACACACCCTGATGGTGCTGCTGTAAATCTGGAGTAACTCTGTGTGAGGACAGAATCAGAGCCCGGCACTAGTGTGACTGAAGTCAGAATTAGGCTCATTGCTTTTCTGGAGTTTCTCTTTAAACTGCCTCTGGCTGTTGGGAGGAACTCAGATGGAACTAGGCTGTCCTGTCCTGCTGGTTCTTGTTTCCCTTACAGCGGTGTAAATCAGGAGTGACTCCAGTGGCGTTAGCCAGGTGTAAAACTGATTTAAGCAGGTGCCCACTCGCTCTCGCCAGGGCAGATAACGAAGGCAGACTCTTTAGAAATCGGTGACAGCTGCCTGTCTGTCTTGTGTAGCCAGCGCGGGTGGGGAGGGAGCAAAAAAGCTCCCTGGTGCTTCGTGCGACCTGAAAGAAGTCGATACAGTCGAGTGTCGCTAGCAGAAAAACCACATCCCTCTCTTCCTCCTTTCCCCACGCACGCGTGCGCATATGCACACACACGGCAAAGCCGGCGAGGATTGGCTTGCCCGCCCCCTCGCTGAGGCAGGCAGGGGAGTGGGCATGCATATCACGTCCACAGTGTTTGTTTCTTGGGGGTGGGGGGGGGAGCGAGCTGGAGCTCAGCGGTATGATAATGACTCTAGCGTCTGGCAGAAAGAAAAAAAGCCCCTGAATGCACCAGGGTGTCTGTAACCGAGCTTAAAGGAGAATGAAGCAAGATGGCTGCCTTGTAGTGCTGGATTCTCGCTGGAACTGACGAGGGGTGGGAGATCGCTGGTGAGCCAAGAGAAGAGAGAGAATTAAAAGCAGAACAAGGTAAACAGGCTCTTCCTTGTGTTTTCTTTTCAACGGCCTTTAAATGCAAGTGTTGCCTTCCCCAGTCCGAGGGAATTGGATAGCGATTTTCGACGGGATAATGTGTGTTTAAATAGCACACAGCATGCCCCCTTTCTGCATGCGATCCCACCCTAGCAGGGGGACTGAGGTAGCTAGTGTTGCCGGGACCAGCTTGGCCTGAACTGCATTTTATTTTGACTTTTAAAAAAAATTCCCCTTGCAGGTGGAAGTAAAGGACAATAAAGAAGGTGGGACGCAGGAACCAGTGCTGGCGACAGAGGTACCTTTTTTTCTTGTTTATAGGTGCAGGACAAAGCATGGAAGAGAATCTGTGGTGGGTGGTGTGTGTGTGTGTGTGTGTGTGTGTGTGTGTGTGTGTGTGTGCGGGGAACTGGCCCACCGCTAGTGAGAGCAAAGGATGTGCTGCGGTGTTTAAAGACCCAGGCATCTCCAGCTTTACTCCTCCTGAATTGCGGATGTCTCCTCATCTAGGCATTTGCTGGGTTTTTTTAAGCTGTAATGTTTTTGCGGGGCGGGGCGGGGCGGAGGAATTAGTGTCTTTTAGTATCTCCTTTCCTCTCATGGTGCAGAAGCAAAAATCCCTGTTGACCCCTTGTCTTTATGGGAAAGCAGCAGCCTCTTCTCTCTCTCCCCTCGATCTGCTGAGAGCTCGGACGCAGCGCCAGTGCCGCCAATGAAAGAGATTAGACTCCCCCACTTTGAAGCAGGCATGACATCACCCTGATGTAACCATGATGACAGCAGCTGTCAACCTCTCCAGGGTGGATGGACCCTGAGAGTTTGTCTGAGCTGCTGTGACCCAAAACCACAACTTGGTTTCTTAGCTTCTGGGGAAAAACATAATTACGAAGTGGAGGGGGAAGACAAGGGTTCTGAGGGTTTGCCATTTGAGGTTTAAGGCCGGTTTCCACTCCGTGTTACGTTGATGTCAATCCAGCTGAAACCAGTGGGGTTACTCTAGATTTAGAGCTTGTCCTTTACGCTGGTGGAGATCTACCCAGAAGCAGCTCTTCGCACGTGCTGCTCTGGGGACAGAGTTTGGAACGCGGCGCTGGAGCTTGCCTCGACTCTAATGCTCCAGGAACATGAGCCTGGGGAAGAGGAAGGCTAAGAAGAAAAGGGAGGGGAGGGTGAGTGAGCTGATTTCCGTAGCGGTTTCAGGAGTGTTACCTTGCAGGGACTGAGGCTTGGTCCATGTTAGAAAATGAGGCTGGTTCAACTCCATCTGGCCAGGGGGTAAAAAGTCCACAGCCGAGAGTGGGGAGCATGAAATCAACTCACATCCCTGTGTAGACTCTGTAAGAGTCGACAAACTTCTTCCATTGACCTAGCCGCTGTCTGGTGGGGAGGTGAGTTATCCACCCCAACAGGAGAACCCTTCTCATTAGCGTAGGTAGCGCCTCAAGAGAAGCGTTACAGCAGCTCGGCCAATGTGGTTCCATCACTACGTATTTTCCAGTGTCTCTGCTATTTTTTTCAGTGCCCAAGTGATGGGGTTTCCACCATTCCCCTGGGGAGATGCTCCACAGCTCTTGCTGCTAGGAAGCATGGCTTTAGAAATGACAGGCAAGAGTCTCAGCTGGGTGAGCCATTGTGGCTGCCTTCTTGGTATCAGCCACACTCCTCTGCCAGGAGCCAAGCGGGAGCTGGATGTGTAGCGCCTGGGTGTTTCTAGGGCCCCTTCAACTGTGGTGTCAAGAGGGGGTAATGAAATGTTACTTAGTCGGAGCTTCCAGCATGTTCCTACTGTGTCCTGTAGCTTGTGTCCTCACCGATGTCCGTGTAAACCGTTGCTCTTCGGGGCTGGTGGCCGTGTGGCACTGAGGTAAATGAGAGCCTAGCGACGAGGAGTCCACCCAGAGTTTGTTACATCAGCGCAAGATCTGTGTCTGGCCCTCAGGCAGATCCCATCGGTGCAGGTACCCGGAGCTGTTGGAAGCCAGGCCGCTGGCTAGGGCGGCTTTCCTGCTTGTAACGCTGAGTGTGGGGTTCTGTGCAGAAAGGAGACATGGGGCTGGACGTGCTGCTGCCCCTAGCCTGGTTACTGGAGTGATACTTTGCAGTTTTAAGGAAGGTGTCCCCAGGGCCCGGAGGAGGGATCCCTGATCAGACAGTAACCTGCTTGCTGCCGTCAGCCGCGACCTAGCAGACAAGGTCTCAAGTCCTCCCGCTGTGTCCTCACCGGTCCTGATCCAGAGCACACATCAGGTGCCGCATTCTTGCCAACAGAGGGGGAGATTTTTATTTTTGAAGGCGCCTAAGTGAGAGAGGAGCCTGTGGCCCATTGATATTTGAGTGGGTCTCGAGCTCCTAACTCACGTTGCTTTGGAAAATCCCATCCCACAGGAGCGTGGATGTCAGGGGAGCTGTGCCCGTTTACACTGGCGGAGGGGCTGGCCTGGCTGAGTACATGCACCCTTTGCAGGTTCAGGCTCCTGCCCACCTGGTGAGCCAGTGGGTTGCATCAGGGCTCCAAGTTGAGCAGCTGTTGTCATGCTAGCTTGGTAAACAAAGAAGCCCTGACTGGAGTGCTAAGTCTCTGGTAACACCTAATTAGCACTGGTGCTGTGTATTGGTTTCCTCACCAGTGTGGAA